CGGCCCGCCAGGGTGCTTACCCTGGCGAGCCGCGTGCCAAACGTTGCCGACCCCTGGCCTACGTACTTGCTGCCTGAAGGCCAAGTGCATCATCTTTCCTGTATTCTCAGTTCACCAGTCTATAACTTTAGGGTGGTATCACTGTTGCTCGTGATAAACCAGAAGCACAGCAGTAAGGAAATCTTCAATTTCACACTTCCAGGGCCATTTTTCTGCTTTAGTTCCTTCACATGAATGCAGGTTGTAACAATGCATCTCTTATTTTTGATCTTTTCCCTATATCTGTTTTATACTTTTCCCCATTTCGTCTTCTCTTTTGAATTGAGTACAAAGTGGGCTCCAATAGGAGTTTCATCATCAGATGGTATACATTTTGCCCACAGGAATGATTTAAACCAGGGGTCGTCAGCCTTTCAGAAGTGGTGTGCCGAGTCTTCATTTCGTCACTCTAATTTAAGATTTCGCGTGCCAGTAATACATTTAATGTTTTTAGAAGGTCTCTTTCTATAAGTCTATAAAATATAACTAAACTATTGTTGTATGTAAAGTAAATAAGGTTTTTAAAATGTTTAAGAAGCTTCATTTAAAATTAAATTAAAATGCAGAGCCCCCAGATGAGTGGCCAGGACCTGGGCAGTGTGAGTGCCAATGAAAATCAGCTTGTGTGCCACGGGTTGCCTACCCCTGACTTAGACCATAAGCTACAGGAGACTTACCAGGAAGAAGAAATAGTTACATGTCAGGAAGTGCTATAGCTGCCTTCAGGAGGGATTGACTTACCTGTCTTGTAGAACCGAGGACTGTGGCAATAGAAAGGTGGCTTTATAACCACCTACCTCGTCCCGGGTCCTGTGCCATAGGCAAGTTGGCTAGACCAAAAGGATAGAGCTCTATCTGAAGCTGAGAATCAGGGTGGATTTGATTTAAATCACTAGTCAGGAAGACTCAATTTAATCATGGATTTCTATATAAAAGTGCATTCTTGTTGGTTGTTATAACCTTAATACATATTCTTCACAACTCAGAGATAGATGTAGGTTTCATTTTTAGAAGGTACACACTATACATTTTTAAAGTTTATTCGGAAAACTTTTCAGATTGATTTTACAGCTATATTAGAAAATGAATGAAGGTTTGGTTATTTCATTTACCAAAGGTAACTGAAGCAGATATTTATGAAGTCATTGGGAGGTGAACTATCTTCAATTCAACAGGTTAATCATTAATATTTGGAGGATTTTCTTGCTGTGCTGTATTAGGAGGAGAACATCACCAGACAGACATTTAAATTGTTTTATTTAACTAAAACAACAATATTATATATTCTGGATTTTTTTCTTCCACAGCAGACATATAATATTTTTAACAAAACATACCATAGAGTAACAACTATATTTTTTGCTCAAACATGAGAATTCAAGAATAGTCCAGAAGGAAGACAGGCAGTCCTTAAGAAAGAAGTATGAAATAAAAAAGTTTACCAACCTGAAGATACTGCATTTTCCTTTCATCATCTTCAACACCGCTTCCTCCTGAGAAGGAACACTTCTCATGACGTTGTTTTATCTAGGCAGTGAGGCCTTGCATTTCTTTGTTGCACTGTTTGCATTTTGCATGCATGCCTGTCTTACTCACAGGTAGAGGAACTTAATTAAAATATTCCCCAACTGGGTTTCTTTTATGGCCTGCTGCCATTATAGGTTTTCCCTTCTAATGAGAGTATGGTATTGTAGATCTCAAATCAATGAAGGCTATACTCAAAAAGACCTCAAGACTTCTGGAATGTGCTGCTTAAACAGTTTTGCTTTTGTTTCTACTGCCTGTCCCTCCCTTCTCACATTTATCTCAAGACTTCTTCTCCTTGTCCAGGTCTGTTCTGTCCCCAACGATCTTCTATTCACTGAACTTTTTGAAACTTTGCACTTTTAGAGAGAGGTAAGGGATTGACTCTGTGTACACAAATTTGCAGAGGGACAATAGGGTTTAGATCTGTTATTTCTCACCTCTATATATTATTTATTTATTTTAAAACATTTTTGCTGTTAACAAGCATGTTATCTCTGGAGATGCAAATCCACAGATGGACAACTGCAAAACTAAGCATCTTTCATGGTATCTTCCTGACTGAGCACTGAGTCCAATTGGGTAAATAGATTATTTAGGTTAGTCTTTCTATACAGAAGATTTTTGTGACACTTTAAAAAAAAATCATTAATTTTTATCCACCCTGCTGAGAATTGATTTAAATATCTAGGTTTATTGGAATGATAAACTGTTTGTTTGGGTATACAGGAAAGCAAAATTGGTTGTTAATCCATATTCAGTTGAACAGTTAGATCTGGAAAGCAGTTGCCTGATTCCTCTATACATACATTGTCAAAGCTCTAGAAGAATGACTTGGAAGTCTCAGCTGATGAAAGAGTCCAGCAATTTAATGACTTCATGATTATTTAAAAAAATTCTTCTCAAATGAAAAAAAATAAGTTGTATATAGTTATACTTAATTACATTCCTTCCCTAGGATCGTCATTCCTGTATATATTCCACTTTAGTATTGAACTATGTATGAGTGCAGGAGAAAGAGAAATTTTGATGGAATTTACCATATATCTTCTCCTACTTCTGATATGTCAGTCCTATCCAATCAGTTGATTGGAGTTCTAATACTGCATTTGTGTGTGTGTGCGTGTGTGTTAGATACCCATACACACTCTTATATAAATAGGCATCTAACATATTTCCTATGTATTCTACAGTGCAATTTTCCTCTTCTGTGGTGATGGATGTGTTGTAGCTTTCAGAAGGCCCAAGCAAGATCACAGCCCATCCCCTGATAGAATGAGTAAAGTGGAATATTTCTATAAGTATAATCATTTATACAGAGTGTGTGTTTAAGGGCTAGTAATCTAGAATTATTCTCTGATGCGCATAGAAATTCTCTGCTTTGTCATTCCTTTAGTAGATAGGGCCTAATTCAGATTTGAAATGATAATTCTCCTTCTCTCCCTGTACAATACTGTAGAACTTGTGGACATGAGAAATAGAAGAGAAATTAGATAACCAAAAATATCTTTTTATTCCAGGAAGCTACTGAGAATGTTTGTTTGGGTTGTTGTTGTTGTTTTAATTCCGGAACATAGCTGGTTGTCACTTGGAGGCTAATGATTTTGCCTTTTATTGCTGGACACACACCTTGTGTGTGAAATTCAGTTGTCTCTTCTTCAGAGAAACAGCACAAAACAATTTCAGATTTCTTCTTTTCTTTGATTTTAGTCTTCCTGTCCAAAAAGTCTTATGCAAGGAAATGTCCAATATGTACAACCTGTTCCTTCCCACCAGTTTAGTACTGATTTGTTTTATTTACATGTTGTTGGTCATCTCTGGGGAAATACTTTTGTCAGAGTATCCTTGGCTCATAATGTACAAAATAGAAAGGCTGCAAGTTGATTATTTGTGCTTGTTTTCTTTAAATGCTGTAGAATTGGTCAACTTTGCATTTGCTAACAGCCTTGGGGAGATGCATCCCGGGCATAAGCACCGACTTCCCCGTTTTCCTGTGAGTGCTCGACCTCCCCTTTGCCCCCGCCCCCATTCCACCCCTTCCATGAGACCCCACCCCCCATTCCAACCCTTTCCCCGAAGTCTCTGCCCCCGCCCTGCCCCTATTCCAACTCCTTCCCCAAATCCCTGCCCCAGCCCCGGCTCTTCCCCACCTCCTCCCCTGAGCATGCCACATTCCTGCTCCTCCCCCTCCCTCCCAGAGCGTGCTAACGCTGCCAAACAGCTGTTTGGCTGCGGCTGGGCGGGAAGCGCTGGGAGGTAGGCAGAGGAGCGGGGATGCGGCGCACTCAGGGGGAGGAGGAGGAAGTATAGATAGAGCGGGGGGCATGGGGAGCTTGGCTGCCAGTGGTGCAGAGTACCCACTATTTTTTTCCCGTGGGTGCGCCAGCCCCGGAGCACCCACAGAGTCGGCACCTATTATCCCGGGAGTTCAGTATCTCTTCCCACTGTTCTCAGAACTCTGCAAATCAGGGGCATTCCCACTCCAAATCCAGTTTGGGACTATTCAAAAGTTTAAAAAACCACTAACTTGAAATACAGCCTCTGTGTCCACACTGCCCCACAATTTGGACCATGGAAGTGTAAATAGCACTGTGCACCCAAGTGCTGTGCTGTAACTCCCCTGTGTGGACTCTGTGGGTGCGAACTAAAAGATTTGTAGTAGGGCTGTCAATTAATTGCCGTTAACTCACGCGATTAACTCGAAAAAATTAATCATGATTAATCGCACTGTTAAACAATAGAATACCAATTGAAATTTATTAAATATTTTGGATGTTTTTCTACATTTTCATATATATTGTGTTCTGTGTTGTAATTGAAATAATTATATATTATTTTTGATTACAAATATTTGCACTGTAAAAATGAAAAAAAATTAGTATTTTTCAGTTCACCTCATACAAG